AGGTTTTAAAAAAAAAAAAAAAAAAAAACACATCCATAAAAGGCCTTAGGGGACAAATTTGTCCCCAGATTACATACGGGTGTAAAATTTTTATCAATTCACATTTTTTCCAGTCTTTTAAAACTACTTCTGCCTGAAAAATACATATCAAATATGAAATATATTTTGGGATTTTTTAGCCCTTTATAGGCCAGTATGTTTACATAACCACTATTTTTTATGAGGAAAAAACAAAAAACTAAGATATTTTTGAAAAAATACATTTCAACCAGTATTTGATTATTATTATTACTAGGCCCTGAGATGGGTCAATGATTGGCAGCAACACTGATTTTGATGCTCTGGTTTGTTTGTTTTGTTTGTAAGGTCATGCCTTTAATTATGCACATCTTTTAGTCTAAAGACAATTCAATGGGCAAGTTACATATTAAAAAAATAAAATAAAATCACCCCCCAGATATAGTTGTCATGGAAGGGGAACTTAGCTATAGAGACCAAAAAAATTTTTGGTTCCAGGCTGTAAACACGGTTATTTCTGCTGTAAAACTGGGCATTATAACATGGGAATCTATGGGAATTGACTCCTGTTTGAAGTGAGCCTTAAGTGGCCATTTGAGGAACTGCAGGTTTTAACACTTTTGCATTAGCTTCATTTCTCAACCTTGAAGGTTGCTGCTGGATTAAGACCAGCAATCATACAACTTTAAATGCTGCTGAATGTGAGTATATGCAACCTGTTTATCCAAGCCACAGGACTGAGTTGGATTGGAAATGTTTGTGGTATACCCAAGTAAAATGATGCAGTCTAACAAGTGTCCTGCACAATCAGGTGTTTGCCAATATTTTTCTATCTTGTTTATAACAAGTGAAAACCAGGGCTTTCCTTCCCTAATCAAAGTCCACCTAGGCATTTTTGTCAACCTCATCACTTAAAGTCAGATTGATGTTCATTTGCTTGTGACCAAGATACAGCCTAATATATAAATCAAAAACTATCTTGACACAAGGACACTGTTGTTGCTCTGCACAGTAGTTTGCATGCTCCCCAGAGGGACATTCTACTGGAAAGAATACTCCATATACAGGACTAAACTCAAAATGTCATATCAGCCTTCAGCGGGCACAGCATTGCATGCTTTTTACTACAACTCACCTTTGACACACCAACCCCTGGGTGACCTGAGGTAATGTTGACTTTGAAATACATACAAACCCCAATCTCAATGAAGTTGGGACCTTTTGTAAAATGTAAATAAAAACAGAATACAATGACATTCTGGGGTCTGCGCAGTCGTATTTTGCGCTTTATAACGTCTGGACTGCAGGCAGGCCAGTCTAGGACCCGCACTCTTTTATTACAAAGCTACGCTGTTGTGAATGTGGCTTTGCATTGTCTTGCTGAAATAAGCAGCCATGTCCCTGAAAAAGATGTCACTTGGGTGGCAGCATATTTTGCTCCAAAACCTGGATGTACTTTTCAGCAGTAATGGTGCCTTCACAGATGTGCAAGTTACCCATGGGCACTAACACACCCCCATACCATCACAGATGCTGGCTTTTGAACTTTGTGCTGATAACAATCTGGATGGTCCTTTTCCTCTTTAGCCAATAGGACACGACGTCCATGATTTCCAAAAACAATTTGAAATGTGGACTTGTCAGACCACAGCACACTTTGCCACTTTGCATCAGTCCATCTCAGATGAGCTCAGGCCCAGAGAAGCCAGCGGTGTTTCTGGGTATTGTTAATGTATGGCTTTCACTTTGCATGGTAGAGTTTTAACTTGCACTTGTAGATGTTGCGATGAACTATGTTAACTGACAATGGTTTTCTGAAGTGTTCCTGAGCCCATGTGGTAATATCCTTTACAGAATAATGTCTGTGATGATGATGTCTTAGTGCTGCCTGAGGGATCGAAGGTCACGGGCATTCAGTGTTGGTTTACGGCCTTGCCACTTATGTGCAGAGATTTCTCCAGATTCTCTGAATTTTTTGATGATATTATGGACTGTAGATGATAAAATACCTAAATTCCTTACAATTGTATGTTGAGAAATGTTGTTCTTAAACTGTTGGACTATTTGATCACGCAGTTGTTCACCACTTTGTGTACCACACCTCATCCTTGCTTGTGAATGTCTGAGCCTTTTGAGATGCTCCTTTTATACCCAATCACGACACTAACCCGTTTCCCATAAACTTGTTCACCACTGGAATGTTCCAAACAGGTGTTTTTTGAGCATCCCTCAACTTTCCCAGTCTTTTGTTGCCCCTGTCCCAGCTCTTTTGGAATGTGTTACAGGCATCAAATTCAAAATGAGTGAATATTAGCAAAAAACAATAAAATTTACCATTTACCAGTTTGAACATTAAATATCTTGTCTTTGTGGTGTATTAAATTAATTATGGGTCAAAAAGGATCTACAAGTCAATGTATTCTGTTTTTATTTATGTTTTACACGATGTCCCAACTTCATTGGGTAAAACATCTATTTGCAACATGAAGAGAAAAATTAAAGAGGTTTTTACCTGAATAACATCCCCATCTCCCAGAGTGAAAGACAAGTCAGACTGCTCCTCTACAAGTGTCCCATCCTTCAGGTATGTTTTCAGGTGAATCTTGACATTCTGTCCTTTCTGTGGCCGAGTGTCTCGCCCTTTCCCTGCCTTCACAACTTTTTTCTTTAACTGATCATTACCTGGGAACAGACAATGTCATGTTTCAGTGTTACATCACTGGTTTCTGTCCGTTGACTATGGAGCAACCACAAGTCAGAACAACATTAAGGTAATCACAACATATTAGACCCTGCAGAAGGGGAGAGTGTATGGATCTGATCAGACTACATTCCCATCATCGAAATGAGCTCCAAGCCTTCTGCAACACTATCTACATATTTTATGAGCTGCTTACTTACCTAAAACATCCAGCCATTCGTCAACTTGACATGAAAGGTCTGAATCTGTATCTGAACTTTTCTTTTCAGCCTCGTTTCTGTTTTTCCCTTTCCCACCACCTGCGTCTTCCAACGGAGGGGGGTCGTCGTCAATGTCCTCTTCATCTAAAACCTCAAAGTCCTCCCCGCTGTCCAACAGCGAGGTTCCTCTATTCTTTTTAGAAGAAGGCTTACTGACATGGGCATCAGAGGCGTCCATATTCTCCTCGTATCTTAATTTGTAGAATGCTCTGAGAAAGAAAGTTATATACAACCTTACTGACTTCTTGAACTTGATGTCTCAAAACCGAAGTCCTAATTAAAATCCAAATCAGTTTAAAGATAACACGTTAGTCCAAAGCTAGCTAATAACATTAACGTATAAACCTAGCTTTATTACCGTGCGAACATTACAGCTTTAATAAAATTAGAAACAATAAAACAAAAAAACGCCTGTCATGCTGAGCTAAATCTTAAGACAGTTAGCAACATGACTGCAATTACAACGTGCTGGTAACTAACAATAAGTATATTGCCCTTAAAAAAGCTGCCAAGCTAGCCACATACTGCCAGAAGTTTCGGTTATCTTTATGCTATCGGTTTGAGCGGCTAGCATGCTACTGCTAACAGACATGAGCGGAGACACTTGACAACAGCAAACTAGCATTAGTTAGCTGTAAAGCTCACTTGGTGTTTAGCTAGCTAATGTCCGTGCCCATTAACTGATAGCCGTTTTGTTTCTATACTATCAACTTCAGAGCGACTAAGCCCAAATGTCATAAGTGACAAACCCATGTAGCAACTGAAACTATTAGCCTAGAGTACTTTGAAACAGTCAGAGGCTTGTTTTGGTCCTGGACAGTCTCCCCTTGAGCATCCACTGCTGAAGTGAGTTTGTTGTTGGATAACACGAACGAAGTAGGACCTGTACGTATTAAGGAGTGAGCAACATCAAACCGACTTCGTTGCAGTATCTCCCATGGGCTTCCTGGTAACCTTGAGCTCCTGCACATCTATTGGACCTTTTTCTGCATACTAATGTTTGGCCTCACAGGCATCCCGAGGACTGCAGTTATATATTTACCTAAGTATTCACGAGCGACCATTTGTAGTTCGGAAGTAATACGCAAATTAGTATATTTCTTAAGGTAACTCAGAAGTACATACAACCATGGCTAAAGAGACCAGCATTCAATTGCCACTGAGCCACAACATTGGCATTATTGGCAACAATTCAGCCCTCATTGTGTCCTGCTTACTGTGACAAGCCATTTTCCATATTCATAACTGATAGCTTCAAATAGCCTAAATCAAAAATTAACAATTCATCTTTTTGAGACATGTGTTTACAGTTTAAGTTACAATTAAACAAGGCCACCCACATCCAACCATCTGGGTGCAGAAAGTCCTTTAAACCTTTCTGTCTTTGACAGAATACGTCACCATAAATATCATGGGAGTTTATTAAATTGGAGAGCATACGTTTTTTGAAAAGTAATTTGAGTCAATCCGTAGGCCTACTGTAGCCTATATCTAATTGGTACAAGCTAAAATCAAGCCAATTTATTTAACTTTACACATTTTTAAAATGTTGTTTACTGGAAGTGTTTTTTTTCCAGAGATTACATGCTTACAAAAACATTATCTAATATGATACCTTTGTGCCACTTCTCTTTGTGTAATGCGTAAAATAGAAGCTGAAAGCTAAATGAGAGCTCAGATGAAGAGATTCAAAGAACATGTAAAAATCAAATGACATTTATTATTGATGCATTGTTTCTTTTTTGATAAGCAAATTATCTGTTTTTCTTTCAGTCTAAAGAAACTTTACAATATAAAGAAACATACAAAGAACATCTTTATTACCTACACAAGACACCTAAGTCCCTAAGACAAGATTCTGAACTATCCTACCATGAAATACAAAGCAAACCCAAGAGACAGACTGCTTCATATTGAATACTGCCATGTCATCAGAAAGGACCATGAATGGTACAGGAGAATCATTTATATCCCCTTCCCTTGAATCCCCACCCCTCCCCAACTCAACATAACCTCCCCATCCAACCAGCAAATCTTCCTAATGGTACAGTATTATACATCACAATAGAAGTACAGAGATGGCCAACAATTGATATACACAGAGGACTGAGAGAGGATCGGTGAGAGAGCTTCAATCTATACAATGCTATTACAGGAGCGAATAGCAAATCACACAGTTTTTAACCATAAGTATTACTTTTTGATCTATTCTTAATTTAAAATGAGGTTCTCTTAAGTATTCTTCCTTTTTAAAAGTTTTCTTAAATCAATAAAAATCCTTCATATTAAAAACTGCACTATGAGGTCACATGTCTGCTGTGAGAAGATGCCCTTTGGAAAAAATATTCAAATGCTGATTATTGACACCCAATAGTGACATTTAACTGAAACACAAGGAAACAAGGGCAGAGTGAGGATGCCACAGCTGTTGTGCTTCTCTCTGTCCTGTCTCCTCTCTGTCTTATCCTCCCCACCACGTCATTAGCATACAGTCTGCTTTTATTGTATTACTGTATTCTATACATTTTATAGAAATTTCACCACATGTGCCAAATAGTCAGCGCATTGCTTCTCTATGAAAAACATGGACAGTTTTATTTATAATTCACTTTCAGCTGTATTCATTAGTAGTGACTGACATATCAAAACATGTCAATGATATCAAAATGCATTATACAGTATTTACAAAAAAGGAGATTAAAGAGAAAGGGGGAGAGGTTTGAGGGTGACGGATGGTAGTAGAGGAAGGGAGGTGTGTGTCACTACACTGAAGGAACACTGAAGAGAGTGTTCCACATGCCACTGAGAGCCAAATCCTGGAGACATCCCTGCTGAA